ATATTAGACATTTTGTAATTTGATTTGAGATTGTTAGAAATGAATTAGCTTGTTATATTTCTTCCCACTGATTGACCCTAAGTTTCTGCGAGGGACTAATGTTGCAGCCTCTTTTTGTCATCACTTTTCAATAAAACGAACTCACGGTGACTCACTTACCTTCTAGTTGTGCTTGTTTTGAGGTGGAGCAGGATGTAGACTGCAGATCCACGTAGCAGTCATCCTGCCACATAATGCGCTTGCTTCGGTCCATGAGAGAGTCATAATGTTCCTTCCTGTCCATGAGAAAATGAGAATGTTTGATTTTTTCAGCCCTCTGTGCTTCTGCTGGTCTGAAACAAACACACAAAAAATGTTTAGATAATATGAAACAAAGATAAGTTTGCATGTGAGTGATGAAACATAGGCTAAACAAATAAATGGAGGCCACAGTATTCTCTAGTAGTTTTAGCACATTTGAAATGAGAAGTAACTGTTGCATAACTATATACAATGTGTAATTTGTTATAATTGCAACATTTCAAAGCAAGGCAGCAACATGCAGAACAGTCTGTTTGGAAGTGATCTGATCTCCTGTAATCTGGACTGATGTACCGATGGCACGTCTGCTTTCTGCACCGCCATGAGAATCTGTAGTCTTTATGAGACATGACAGGTGCCAGAAGAACCTGCTGCTCTGCTCAGTTTTAGACATCTAAGTCTGTGAAACTGTCTTTTTGCATAAAATGGTGGCAAATCCATTTAAAAGAGGGAGAGGCAGTCAGGTCACTTTCCAAGCACTACAGYGAAGCCCTGATTTTCAGGGGGTGTTATGTTCTTAGAGTACTCGTGAATCGTGAAAACACACGAATACTGGATATGGTCCAGAAAAGGCCTTCAGCGTGTTTGGAGTGGTATCTTAATGTGGTAAGAGCCAAATAAAAACAAATAGCTAAACATTTAGCAACTACGCTACACGGTTCTGTTAGAAAGCAGAAATGCTGCGCTCCAGGCGGAACATGTACGTTGCTTACTGTACTGTACTGTACTCCTTTACATTAACTTTTAGGTTACAAAATTAGTCACTTAAAGTGCTCTTAAAGATTTAGCTTGAAAACTCATGATAAAGCACCCGAGGGAAAAAAAAGTTTCTTACTGTACTGAATTTCCAGTTTTTCTGATATCATGGGACTACAGCAAACCAGTAGTTAGGTTTCATTAAAAAAACACAAACTGTGAAACACTGCTTGGTGGGAGTTCACTGTAATTTGCTTTTCAAAGTAATTGGCAAGATCAGTGTTTTTCAATGTTTGGTTTTCTGTTTTGAGTTTGGTATACTGATACAAAATATGCGTATTCAGTTGGTTCCTAGTCTCCCTGTGTTTTTCAGCCCCTATCAATCATTTTTTTAGTCAGTTTCTTAGTCTTCAGTCCTGTTACGTTCATTCTTACCRATCCCTGCTTCATATGGTCTCAGTCTATATAGCCTGTCAGTTTCCACTTCTTTCTTAGTGGAGCGTTATGCACACTCAAACAAGTCCTGGGGTCAGATTTATAAAGTATTGCATGGAAACCATACTAAAAGTGATCATACAGCCAAAAGGTGAAAATGGCGTTTGCCAAAAAAAAAAAAAAAATTCCAGATTTATAAAACCGTGCGTACATGTTTCTGCATGCGGCGCACCTTTACTTTTTAGATCACAACCGCACCTCAGTTTGCRCACAAGGTCCCGCCTCGGATTCTGTCCTCTTCACGCCCTCATCCAACCATTAACAGTCAATGCAAAGTACCTCATGAATGGTAAGGTGTATTTAAATCAGTCAGCTGATCAATGTCAAAAAAGCGATTGGTTCAGACACGCTCTCCATCGTGCTTTTGGAGGATTACCCCCAATTTACACTACATGCGTTCCGTCTCCACTCCGGTCCGACCGCCGCAGCAAATACGCACCCATTATAATCAATGAGAGTGTTTACACTGGCTGCGCACAGCGGTGGTGAGCGGACAGCGATCCATCAAAATTAGATTCGATCCTATTTTTGCTGGATGTCGGAGCTGCGCCGGAGTCATTTTTTAAAGATTACGTTGCACCAATAGGAAAAGGAACGAGCACAACATCCGTATTTACAAAATAAGACCCTATTAGGTGGAATAATTTGTCGGAATAATGTCGAAATTGCAGCTATATTAATCAGTATATGGATATATTTATACACAGATGCTGTCAGTTTGGGAAACAGATTGAAACGTAGCATGTAGCATATGTGTACACACACGATACACATGGATTTTATTTTGAAATCAAAAGTTTCAAAAAGACGACAGTGATAC